AACTTCACCACTAACCTACCAAATTGATGATATATTAATTTTGAGTGAAGTGTCAATAAATTAACAGTAAAGCCCTTTGAATAAAAATTTGTTTTACAGAATTCAAACAGACAACTCACATGTGTGGGCTCCTGTGGTGATAAAAAAATGCCAAAAAAATCACCCAACTCCCCTTGTTGTGAGCCTTCTGGAATAGTCCTGTAAGATAATTTTCTGTAGACACAATTTGGTTGATAAATTAATTGAGTGGGCAACAAATTAAATAAAAAAAAATTAAACTAGGGCTAGACATGGTTCGGTTCGATTCGATTTTAACGAGAAACAAATTGAACCCGAAATTTTTGGGTATTTAGTAAGTGAAACTGTCGAGTTCAAATTTATTTATGGAACCGTTTGGTTCGACTCCATTTGATTCTATTCGGTTCAATTCCTAGGTTCCATATTATAATTAAATTTTTTAATATTTACAAATTTACATTAATTCAACTAATGATATGTTCAATCTTAACCTTACAAAATTGCGTAGTCCAATCTTTTGTATCTTTTATGTCATTCTTTGCTGAGTTCTTTATAGATTTTTTTGTTAAAATCACAGGAAGATGACGATAGCGAGCTCAAAATAATTAAGAAATGCGTTGTCAAGCTTCATTTCGATTTTTTCAAAACGGTAGAAACGAAACTCCAATAGAATAACAGAGTTGCACAAAAACAGGCGAATTTGATTAAGTTGGCTTTGAACTGAAAAATTAGAAATGAGTCATTTGAGATTTTATCATCCATATTGTCAGTCTCTGTCACGTGAATATGAAATCTCATAGTATTAAATACGTTAAAATGTTAGAACCTCATTATTGAAGGACTAATGCTATTAATCTCTACTTTCTAGTGAAGTTCATCATCGGTCTATATGACAATATCATAACTATCACATTATCCAATGAAATTGAAATGTAGTGTGGCAGTGGCCCTTCACCATATTGACCGATGATGAATTTCGAAAAGAGAATAACAACACTAATTTTGAAGGTTGTAGAGTCATTTCCACACTATATGTAAAAGGTACTTGGAGAGGTCTTTCCTAATTTTTTCAAAGTTGTAACAACGTTGATACCACACACCAAAAAAATATATTCTTGAACGAGACTCGAGTCTCATTCATCAGTTTTAAATATAAATTAAGAGCGAGAGGGCTTCGAAAAATCTTTTTTTTCTTTTTTTCTTTTTTAACACCTACATCAACTTTTTGTTATTACAAATAAGCATATGTCATAAATATTTTTTGTAATTATGTTAAACATATCTCACACATGTTTTAATTCTTCTATAATTTGTCAAAATGTTGAGTGGCGGTGGGTGCTTGTCCCAAAAAGTATATAGCAACATTACTATACCCAATTTGACACCTTTTCTCATATATAGAAACTTCAACATTAATAAACTTTTAATAGTAAATTAATTGTATTTTAAAAAAATGTTATTGCATATATGTCGTCATTCCACGTCATTCAATTTGTCAATTCTTGCTCTTAACTAACTGCAATAATATTCCCAAGTATAGGTGCATGAAGGTGACTAGAGAAAAATAAAAAGCTACACGCATTATATGTTCACCATGGTTGGCCCCTATTTTTAAATTCATTTTTTCCTAAACTCGTTTTCAATCGCATATTTTAAGAGTTCGAACTTTTATCAAAATTTTAATTATATAATTTATCAACTTTTATCAAAATTTACAAAAAAGTGTGATTCTTAACTAAATCAAACAGAGTTTTAGTGTTTGTTTGAATTAGCTTAAAAATTTGTTTAAAAGTTGGGATCAAAGTCAATAATTAATTATAATCACATATTTTATGAGACTCACTATTTTGACAACTTTACAGTTACACATTTTATCAATTTATATATAAAAATGATTAATATTTTTTTTAACCAAAATCTTTATCAAACAATCCCTTCATAAAAATGTAAAGGGACTTGAAATAATTAATCACAACTAATTTCAACAACAACCAACTATATAGCTAGAGGGAGGGTAAAGTAGTGTAATCAGATGAGAAATATTTGCAGTGGTGCTGGTGAGTAAAACAAGTGGTTGCATCGTCAATTGTTGGCTAAAATCATGATTAGTTTAAGAATTTAAGAGAAAAAAGTCATGATTACATTGAGTCGATGGAATGACCTCATAACGGTATATGTGCTCTAATTTTAGTGATGTTATTATCGTTATTAATTACAAATAAGAACCATACATGGCACTTTGCAAGTGGGTAAATCATGTTGGTAAAATTTTGCTAAGAGTATACCTACCCGTCACGTACAAATCGTTTGTCTAATTAGTCAAAAGTTGCAATATTTTAGAGGTAGACAGTATTGTGGTGGATTCAACGTAAATAAGAAACATACATTAAAATATTAGTCCTGGGCGTGTCATGTTAGCCTAATACTAATGCGCTAATGGAGTAATCCAAGAGACGCACCAATGATTAAAAGACAAATACAAGAATCAAGAAAAGGGATATTTATGATTTCTTGGAAAATTAAGACAGCTTTAACCTATTACATATATACCATGTTCACAATAATTTTTTACCTAATAATTCGCGAGATACATTATTCTCTAACACAAGTACTGCTTATTCACTGTTGGAAACTATAAGTAATTGAGACCAAAAATTATTGGAAGGAATGAAGAACTTTATACTTTTTCTAACATTTTAAAATGAAAGATTATGTATACAGGGTTACAAATAATTATGGAAAGGAATTACGATTTTATACTAACTACTCAATCAAAATATTAATCAGAAAGCATGATAATTTCAGGGTTGTAATTTTACGGATATGTTTATATTTTTTAAATTATCAATAAAAAATTCTACTTATTTATATTTGTTTCAACTAAAAAAGTTGATTAAAATCTAAGTCAGAGTTAACTATTAATTTTAACCACATATTTCATGAAATTTACAACTTTTGAATTACACGTTCCACCAATTTTGTCAAAAATTATCAAAAATTTGAAAAATGACTAAATAAGTTCAATTATTCGACTAAACTAAGTGGCTCTGCGGAGATGTCTTGTATAAAGGGCTAGAGCGATGTGGAGATGTTAGTGTAAACAATTGACAAGCTAACTAATTAATGGAAACGAAATCATAAAACTCTGGAAAAATCAGAGACAAGGTAATGATTACATATTTGTCAAATTGATCGAGAAAATTAACTTTTTGCTATGTAACAAGATTAATGAAAAGACTAATAACTACTTCAATTTTCAGAAAATATCATTAATTTGATTACTGTCAAATTTTCTTCTTGCAGTAAGAACAACAACAACAAAAAATAAAATAAAATAAGAAGAAGAAAAAGAACGTATAAAAATTTACACGTTTGTAATACTTGAAGAGATACAAGAGTAATGTTTTCAACTAAACATTGAGAATCATGTATACAATCGAGCAATATTTCATGCGTGATCTACACATTATATGGATATGTTATTCGTACGCTAAAATTTGTTATTTTTGAAGAAGACAAAGATGCTACTCAAAATTAAGCCACGTATTCATAAGCCTAAAAATATTCAGAAATAAGTTGCTGCTATGATGAAAATGCACAAATAAAATAATTTTTGATTTAAATAAAATTTTGAGAATGCTAGTGACAATGTTACTCTCAATCCAAAATTGCCAAAATATAAAACGTAGGCGCCTTGTATGAATTTCTACTTGTTATGGACGAACTAAATTAAAAATTAGCTTAAGATAAAGGAAAAAAAAATCTTAATTTTTAAATTCAAACGACTCTTCGATGGAATATTTATTAATACAAAAATAATAGTAAACTGCAAACTTGGGAAGGATCTTACAGTGTGACTTCCGAACAAAGTAATAGTGTTAAGAAGACTTAACCAGTCAAGAACACTTGGGGCTAGTTAGGCTCTTCATTATCATTGTGGTTCTCCTCTTCGGAGTTAGCTAGTATAGGTCAAAATCCTAGTCATCATCAATATCTTCGTATCCTTGCCAAAATTTATCTTTTGCATCATAAATGTCTTGTAAAGATGGAATAAAGCTGGTTGAATTTTTCCAAGGTAAAAAAGTAGTCTTCCGACATGAAATTTGATAGAAATTGTGATGAAATCAAAGATGTATGAACATAAGTTCTGCATCGATTAGACATGATCAAGATGCATGGTTTTATGTTTATGAAGGAATTAAGATATTTTGCACCTAATGAGTCGTAATTTTTGGGACTTTAACTCCAAGTCCTATTGATCGATAAAATATTTCAGTTTCAAGACTTAGCTATGCGGATGCACCAGAAGAATTTCCAAACATGTGATGAAGACCTAAACACAATTGTAGGCTCCAATTAATCACAATGGGTGAAGTTCTTTAGATGGTCGAATCTCCATGATAATATAGTTTGCACCCATCACTGGCGAGTAGCCCTTACATGTGTGTATATATTGTTTCTAATATTTTCAAGTCATGGAATTCATCATAGGAAACTAATATCTATATCGTATGAGTGTCATCATGTAGTGTCCCTAATGTGTATATGTATGGTGATTCTAAATGTAATGTCCCATGAAAGCGCAATGCCTTCGACCCCATCTCAGATTGGTTGCACAACTAATACGAGTGATGGCAGGAGAGAGAGATTCTTTTGAAGATAATAGTGTGGTGGTTTCAATGGAGCTTTTCTTTGAGATTTTTAAGGTCGAGGGTCACAGTTTGGAGATGCCATACCCCACACCCCTACCCATGACCATAGGGAAACCTCTAACGTCTGAAGTGGGACCTACAATAAGGTACCTATGATGGGGCCTACATTACCTCTAAATTTAGGTGGTTGGTTCTTCTGGAAGCCAAAGACCCCACATTGAACGGGCACTTGGCTATGTTAGAAAAAAATTTCATGCATTTTTGGACCTTATTGTCCTACCACGTTCATATAAAATCATCATTTTCCAACCCTTTTTACGCACACCACAATTCCTTTACTTTGTAGTTATTCTCCTCTCTTTCTATCTTTATCACAATTTTCCTCTCTCTTGGCCCTTTCTAGCCTTATTCATCATCATAAAAGTGAGCTACGTACTGATTTTAGTTTTAAATATAGGCAGAGTGAGGAATTTTTGCACTTAGTACTCTCGACTACGTAGATTACCTAGTACTAGCTAGTGCATGATGTCAGAAGACATGAATTTATCTGTAAATGGTCAGTCCAAGGTGCCACCAGGATTCCGTTTTCATCCTACTGAGGAGGAGCTTTTGCAGTACTATTTGAGGAAGAAAGTAGCTCACCAGAAGATTGATCTTGATGTTATTCATGATGTTGATCTTAACAAGCTCGAGCCATGGGATATTCAAGGTAATTTAAGCCTACAAGATCTTAGATTCAAGTGCTATTAAATCTTCTCGTACCTGATATGCCATAACAGTTTATTTCCTCCTTAAATGAATTGGTTTTGAATGATATGCAGAAAAGTGTAAAATAGGATCTACGCCGCAGAATGATTGGTATTTCTTCAGCCACAAGGACAAAAAATACCCAACGGGGACTCGAACAAATCGTGCAACTGCTGCCGGATTCTGGAAGGCTACTGGTCGTGATAAAGTTATACACAGTAGTTTCCAAAGAATTGGAATGAGAAAGACACTGGTATTCTATAAAGGACGAGCTCCACATGGACAGAAATCAGATTGGATTATGCATGAGTATCGGCTCGAGGACGACACTCATGACCCAAACGTAATGCCATTTCTTGATTTTCTTTTCTAATAATTTGATTGCTTTATTGAAGGCCATTTTCCCTTCTTTTTTTTTTTCCTCAAATACAATGAAGCTTCTAGGGATTTTCCTCTTTCTTTTCTTTCAATAACTAATAATATCTTTATCTCAAATCGTTCAAAATAAAAACTTATAGTGTGGTTTGAACATTATATACTATGATACCATACCAGAGACACGTGTTTCATCTTAAAATGTTAATTTTGATAATATAAATAATCAAAACCTTTATATATTGTGTATTTTTTTTTTATTATCTTTATTCGACGTGGGATTCACTTTTAACATGTATCTACAAGATGGTAGTTCATTTGATAACATCAATCTTGGAATTTCATTGCTTTTTTGAACTTTTAAACGTACCGATTTGCTCGTTTCAACTTAATGGACTCCAACAGTATATGAAGACTTGGAGATCCCTTTAAAAATATCAATTTCATTAAGAGGAATGACGAAATTCTTATATGTTGTATATATTTTATTTTATTTTTATCTTTATTAGATGTGAGATTCACATTTATCACTCTTGGACAGCGCACATGGCTTGGTTGGGGTAGTCTAGCTTTGTTTGATTATTATGGGACTTTTTGATCACTAAGTGCATGTTTAATAATTTAGATCATATGAAACACCATAAAAATGGAAAAGAGTATAAATTTTCTTTCTCAACTTGTCTAATTCATCTATCATACGCGTCATATGTTTTCTATCTTTACTCGTATAATTCATTTATAAAATTTTTTCACAAATACATGTACATGTTGACCTGAGTGAAAATAAATACGTTCCGAATCCAGGCATGTAATCTAGTAATGGATGCGTCACCTGAAGATGGTTGGGTGGTTTGCCGAGTTTTCAAAAAGAAACATTACCACAAAGCTTTAGAGAGTAATTCATGCACTTCAATCTACTCAAGAAGTAGCGGTCCAGTGCAGAATTCGAATAATGATGGCATTCTTGATCAGATAATTATGCACATGCGACAATCGTGCAAGAAAGAGCACGAATTGATGATAAATAACAGCAGCATCAACTACAACGATGAAGAAGACGATGAGATGCAATTCGTCAATCATATCAAAACATCAATCAACGACGGATTTCATTCTGGTTTTCTACATCTGCACAGATTGGATAATCCAACAATTCCATCACTTCCCAGAATTGAATCACCCTTCAGCTCTGATCAAGATTGCAGCAGTTTCAAGGCAGCTTGTGAACAAGATATGGGCTATATGCTAACAGATATGCAAACTTCTTGCACCAACCAAAATGACAATTCTGTTGATGATCTAAAAACTGGGCCGACCGACTGGGCGGAGCTTGACCGCCTGGTGGCGTCTCAGCTCAATGGCCAGACCGAGACATCAAAGCAACTCTCGTGTTATGGTGATCCAAACGACAACTTCTGCTTTTCTCTCGCGGATCACGAGGTAGAATTAACAAAACCAAATCAAGTTTCCGGCGCAGACCCAAATTTTTGGACCTTTGCTCGATCACCCTCGTCATCATCGTCTAATCCGTTATGCCACTTGTCAGGGTAGTATTGATCCATCGATTGTGTTATATATATTTTATGTAATATACGTAGCTCCTAAAGTCAAATAATATGGAATAGCTGCATACATCCATGTTATTCTATAGCTTAATGGAATATATTTTATGTGCGCTTTAATTCGTCAAACACAGCATCTTTACGAAAAAAGTTTTCTATTCCAGCATCATTGTCTACGTACGACGATCTTTTCAACCTATCATTATGTTACTTTGGTATTGCCCGAATTCGTTATGCTAAGAAAAGGTTCAATAATTAGAAACACCACCTATATTCAACTTTAAAGTAAGGATCAATTATCCTTTTCAATTTTGAGTTGGCTTTTCTTATATTAATCATCAATTTGCTATCGTGCTCCGAATTGAAGAGATATGATAGGGGTTCCACACGATTTTTCTTAGAGCATAGTAAAGATTCTATTAAAGGTGCACCACCTTTTTGAAATTAATAAGAATATTTACTGTACTTAATTCAGCACGAAAATAATGGAGGACCAATATTAAATTATAGGGTTCCACGTGTAATTTTTCATTTGATGGAGATATCTAAGCCAAATACGTGACACTTCTACAACAATACTGCGTATGTAGATGTATCTCATGTGGCTATCAAGGCAGATAGTCTGTCGAATGCTGTCTTGATCTGTTCTAATTATGGGGGTTATTTTTTATTTTTTCCATGGCATTAATCTATCTTAAAAGGTTTTGTTGTTTATCGTCAGACACAAACACACGAGTATATACGTCTACAATATTTCACAAGAATGAATGGCTAAAAACAAATTTCGATGACAAGCCAAAGGCTAAAAACAAATTTCGATGTCGAGCCAAACGAATCGAGTTGACAACACTGTCACTTCATGAATTGCATTTTTCAAAATTGAGAACAGCCTTATTTTTTGGTGTAAAGCCATGTCACCAAACCTCTTTTTTTTTTTTTTCTTTTTTTTTTTTAAAGTTCTTTATCGTACGTTGAAGACTTTAATATCATACTTCAACAAACATTAAAGCACCAAAAGTGTTGGAAAATTTTGTGCCAAACAAATCTTAGGGGGCTATGACGTTAAACGGGTCGGAATTACACTTCATAGGTTTTATTATAGCGAGAAATGAAGATTGAATTAAATACCCCGTCTCCACAAACAAACAGCACAATTGTAAACATAAATTAAGCCCTTGTTTGGGCCATATTCTTGGCAAAATAAGAATGAGAAATTGTGTCGTTGTGCGCCCTACACAAGACACATGAAGTCAACAATTGTGGGTTGGATTTGCAAGCAACTATAGATATTCTCCTATTTCTTGAGAAAAAAAATGCCTCTCAAACAGTCTCTAAAGACCAATAAATAAATCACTTGGAGGTTAAATGGGCTCGACCCACTTGCTCAGTGATTTAATTCTTCGTGTTGACCTAATTGAATGCTATTTAATTGGCTCTTATTTTTACCTAATTAACACATACTACACTCGACTTCTCATGTTGATTTTGAATGAAAAGCAACTGCCTCCTTCTCCTTAGAAAAGTCGTGCCTCTGTTTCTTTCTGTGACCAGTTTTGATTGCTCCTTTGTGAAACCTTTTCTTCCATCCTTTGTACAATCTCTGTGGGTTGTCTTGGACTTGGTTGTTAGTCCAATTTGTGGTGTTGCCTTTGTGGAGACGACTATCAACTGAGCCCCTAATTACACTACCAATTGCTAAGCTTAATTGGAATTTTCAATTCATCACTTGTTTTCTTCAATTTTCTTGCTTTTGCTTTCAATTATTTATTTTAACTTGTGTGAAGTTTTTTGTTGTTTGCGAGGTAAAACATCACAAAAAGATTTTCATAAGTCTTCCTAGAATGATACATTTGTTTGATAGTTTTTTTCCCTCCAACATTCTGCACTATTTAGAGTGAATTATTTTGTCTAGGAACTGTGTAATGATTGCCATAAAACTACGTCCACCAAAAAAGATAATCGTAAAAAATCACATAAGAAACTTTTCAATCGATTCAACATATTAAACACATCATAAAATGCTAAAAAACGATAATTTTCCTAAGAAAACTTTGCAAAATATCTTTCGAAACAAGAATATCGTCCAAAATCGAAAGAAAAAAGAACTATTATGAAATATAAAATAGTAAAGTGAGGTATATATGTGTTTCAGGGTTTGCCGACAAAACCCACCTTAGAAGACAATAGATTCTGAATTCATAACAACTAAAATATTCGATGGTTTGCTACAAGTTTTGTTTGGGGCACTGAAGTTGGACAGTAACACAAGACTCCATGTTCAAGTCTTTTTCCTGTGTTGTTGTTGATCATGATTAAGTTAGACAATTAGTCCCGAAATTCTTTATATATTGTCCCTCTTTATTTTTCCATCTTTCACTTTCTTCCACCCAATGAAAGCAACTGCTTAACCCCAACCCTACCATATATATGTTTATGATCACTAGGGAAATAAAATGTGCCCAACTATTTTTTCCAGTCCGGCTTGACAACCATAGTGAAAAAAAGTTGCGACGATGTGTTTGATACACACTTCACATCGGGTAAACAAAATTTAATCCAATTAGTGTTCGACACAAATAATACAAACATGAGCAGATAATTTAATCTCGCCGAAAGAGACTGTTAAAATTTTCAGTGTTGTGCTAAAATTGATTAGGCTTTTGTTAGATTGCAGTTTAACTATGCATCGGGCCCATGTTCTTGATGCGATGAATAAATGTAGACTCGTTAGATTTTCATGATGTTGCAACTTCTATATGCAGGATATGGCTTGTTTCCCTCTCATCTACAATAAATCCCTAAAGATTTTTTTGGCTTGACCCCATCACTAGTAATCATTACTACAATTTAGAGAGCGTAGGGGAATTATCTTGCCTAGGTGTGATGAGTTCGGCAAGGACTTACAAATTGTGCAGATGTTCTTCAAGTGGTAACCATTAATTTATAATTTTGTGATCTATGTAGATATATGTTACTAGATTTGATCTAAAAAAGTCTTAACACAGCAGGGTTAAAGCATCTCCTATGTATTATGTGAATCGCTATCTAGGTGTCTATTATTTACTTAAAGTAAAACGAAATTACATGTAAGTCAGCATAGGAAATCTATATGCATAGAAAATATAAATTTTTATGAGTCAGCTTGTCTAGCAAACATTTTGAATCTAGACTGAGCAATAAACAATATCTATTTTTATTATCCGTATCTACAAATTGACGAAGTCCTTGTCAACTTGCACTTACTGGGATTATTTAAACACTTCTTATTTCACTTATACGACTTGATTTCTTACAACTTGCGAGCTAGAAACATGTAAAATGAACGAAAAGAATGGCTGTTGATAAGATTATAAAGCAACATACGTTTATCATGTTCATTCTCCTGGCGCAGTGACCTCTCACCAAAAGGATAAATCTGGTTAGGTAGGTGAGATCAATCATCGCATAAGTAATAGATACACAACACCATGCAGTAGGTCGGGGGATCGTATTTACTCCAAAGATCAAATTAAGAATATGTTTTTTGAAATAAAAAAAGGTAATATGAAGTAAAACATCTTGCTTTTTTTTGGGGGGGGGGGGGGGGGGGGGTTGAATCCTCCCATATAGCCGGAATTACATGTCCAACTTTTTTTTTTTTTGCAAGAAAACTAATTTCCATACTTGATTCGTGGAAAAAAAAAAAAATTTCCTAGTTTTTTATACATTCAATTTACTTAGTGTGTCTGAGAAATTTGTTGGAAGAGAAGGCGGGCTCCATAATGTTAGGAATAATTTTGTGAAGTGAAAATATAAATCAAGAGAAACCTTTATTTTTATAAAATTTTCGAATATCAATATATTAGTACGTGTATCAAGAACTTGTTGCATAATTCTTCTTAGATGATCAATGTGTGAAGCATGAACTCGAATCACTTTCTAAGTGTATATAATAAATTGAAATACATGTCGAGTCGGCTTAATCATATAGGTGACTTAAGGCATTCGTCTAAGATTGCATATTAAAGGAGGCTTCTAAATTTCTTTAAGAATTTTTGTGTTTACGCATTTTTTTATTTTACTATTATTAAAAACTTAAAAACTCAATATTCAAACTCTTTTATATCTTTCATATTTTTCCCTTGTTCTTGCAAACATAAGCAACCATTTATTATTACAATTTACAATTTTAAACTCTTTATTATTACTATTTGTTATTTACAATAAACTTATCGAAGCAATACTCAAGAAGCATGCAATAGATATTTTTCTCTCACTTCGCATGTGCCTATTGCAATTCTCAGTTTCCAAAAAATAAAAAAAATTAAAGAAAAAATAAAATCAACAATCATCATTTACGAAACATTACATGCATTCTCATAAATAACAAATAAAGTGATTGAATCTGCTAGACTTTAGCGTCTTTTTTTAGTAAAATCACTTATAACAACTTCAAGAGCAAAGTCAACTTTTTCATGTATAAGAAAATAATTTTCATTTTTGTATTGCCAGATTGTGTTAAACGTGTTCTACAAATACATAATATTTTGCCTCTTTCTATAAATTTTTCTTGTTTTTGTATGTGCTTGGGAATTCAATTGCATTCCATAAAATCAAGTTCCTAAATCTTAAATTTAGATAAGAACCTGAACCTATGTTTGGCTCATGTTTATAAATAATTTATAAACACTCTCTTAAATCAAGAAATCTATGATACACGCTGTTAGTCCCAGAATATGTTGCCAACAGATACCGGATCCACTCGCGCGCACATAATCCTGGTCCAACACGCTAAGACATGAGGACGGTTTCAAATTGACAGACTAAGGGCGTGGGAGTGGCTCAAAAGTGCGGGATGAGAACGTTCGAAATCCGGCGAGATGTTTGCATAACCATTATACAATAATTACCAATCGATCTTTGTAAGATACATATATAATTAGTGTATGTTGTACGAGAGTTGAATGTAAAGAATGTTATATTTGTTCTTGTGTTGAATCTTGTATTGCCCTTGTGAGAGTTATATGGGGAGTATTTATAGTATTACAACTTAGATCGTGGCTCACGTGGCCTCATCTCGTAAGTTTACATGTCCAATTATAGGTGTCACATTTGACTTCCTAGCCTGCTACAAATTAATT